TGATGTGTTTCCAACTCTTTACATGCATGTTATATGTAAATAGTTTGGCTTACTCTATTTTATTTTAATTTTTTTCTTGCATATAAAATGCTGTTTTTTTCAGAACTGAGCCTTTAACTTGTGCGTGTATTTCAGTGAAAGGCTACCACAGTGAAACCAAAATACAAAATATGATTTATCAAGCCAGATTACAGTCAGGGATTTGAGTCATCCAGTCATAACATCTACTGAGATCATAAGACAATATAACAATTACAACCCGAAAAGCATGAGATTGTGAGCAGTGTTGATAGGGTAAATATGATCAGGATGTTTGCTCTTGTGGCTGAATCTATGATCACTGATCGTAAATAAAGGGTTGCCCCGTCTAAGAATGGGATGATGAGGATGTTTTTTCTTGTGGAGGATCCTAAGACTTTGGAATATCTTCCTCAAAAGATGTTGGAAAGCAGGGTTTTGAATATTCTCGATGTAAGAGTAGCAAGAGTCTTGATAAGCAAGGGGGTTGAAAGGATATTGAGATTGATGGAAAGTGAAATAATTAGACCAGCCATGATCTCATTGAATGGTGGAGCAGGCTTGAGGGACGTTATTCTCTCACCTAGTTTGTACATTCAGATGTACCATCTGTACCAATGATTTGGATGAAATGACTGAGTGATTGTTAAATTTGCTGATGACGCCAGGATAGGTAGGAAAGTAAGTTGTCAAGGGGATATAGAGAATCTGAAAAAAGGGATATGGACAAGATAAGGTGAGCAGGCAAAAACAAAACTGGAGTACAATGTAGGTAAATGTGGAGTTGTCCACTTTGGCAGGCAGAATAGAAAAGTGGTATACTATTGAAAAGGGGAGAGATTCCAGAACATGGAGCTTTGATTTTATAGAATCCCCACAGTGTGGGGACAGGCCATTGAGCCCAAGAAGCCCACACCAACCTTCCAAAGTCCATCCCATCAAGTCCCATCCCCATCCCCATTCCCCCTATTCTATCCCTGTAACCCTCCATTTCCCATGGCTAATGCACCTAATCTACACATCCCTGAACACTATGGGGTATTTAGTAAGGCCAATCCACCTAATTTGCACATCTTTGGACTGTGAGAGGAAACTAGAGCACCTGGCAGAAACCCACACAGACACTGGGAGAAAATGCAAACTCCACTCAGATAGTTGCCCGAGGCTGGAATCAAACCCAGGTCCCTCGTGCTATGAGGCAGCAGTGCTAACCACTGAGCCACCGTGCCACCCCTAATAAAGCTATTACAGAGTTTCAGGGTTATCTGGGAGACCTGGTACATGATTAAGGGAGGCACGGTGCCTCACAGCACCAGGGACCTGGGTCTGATTCACGCTTGGGTGACTGCCTGTTGGATTATAGAGTCAGAGATGTACATCACGGAAACAGACCCTTTAGTCCAACTCGTCCATGCCGACCAGATATCCTAAATAAATCTAGTCCCGTTTGCTGGCATCTGCCCCCTATTATTATAGAATAGCAACAGTGTGGAAACAGGCTATTTGATCCAACGAATCTACACCGACTGCCCAAAGAGCAGCCCACCCAGAGTCAGCTCCATAGCCTATCCCCATAACCCTACATTTCCTGTGACTAACCCACACATCCCTGAACACTACGGGCAACTTAGCATGGCCAATCCACCCTAACCTGCACATCTTTGGACTGTGGGAGGAAACCCACACAGACATTGCCTGAGGGTGGGAATTGAACCCAGGGCTCTGGTGCTGTGAGGCAGCAGTGCTAACCACTGAGCCACCGCACCATCCTGTTTCATCTAGGTGCCCTGGTTTCCTCCCACAGTTCAAAGATGTGCAGGTTAGGGTGGATTGGCCATGCTAAATTGCCATAGTGTCCAGGGGTGTGTAGGCTAGGTGGTTTAGCCATGGTAAATTGTGAGGTGTCAATGTGGGTTTATGGAGGTAGGGGTCTGGGTGGGATGCTCTTCGGAAGGCCAGTGTAGTCTTGATGGCCCGATTAGCCTGCTCCTACACTGTTGGGATTCTATGATTCACACATGGATAATACACAGGCATAGCAAATGATTCGGAAAGGCAAATGGGATGTTGGTGTTCACTTCAAGGGGATTGGAATATGCAAGCAAGAACATTTTACAGCAGCTTTATAGAGCCTTGGTTTTAGCCATGTCTGCAGCACTGTGTACAGTTTTGATCTCCTTATTTGGATGGAAAGATATAATTGTTTTCAAAGCAAGTCAGAGAAAATTAATTCAAATCATTCCCAGGATGAAGGCCTTATGCTATGAGGAACGATCGAGCAAGCTAGGTCTATTCCCATTGGAGTTTAGAAGAATGGGAAGAGGGATCCTAGTGAAATATATAAGATTCTGTGGGGACTAGATAAGTAGATTCCAGGAGGATCTTTCATTTTGCAGGGAGACGAAAACGAGGGAATATAGTTTAGGAATGAGGTCTCCCTTTTAACACAGTGATGAGGAATTCTTTCTCCTCTCTCAAAGGTGTATTGGAATGTGGAATTGCCTTTCCCAAAAGCTAGTGAATATCTTTAAATTTGTTCCGGCCTGTGTTAGATAGATCTTCGATAGACTGGGGAGCCATAGAATCATGGAGTTAAAGTACAAGTTAAGATGGCCGCAGGGTAAGATGCTGCAACCGGACCTCCTCTGCTTGTCAGGACCTTTTCCTTTCTCCTTCTGTTTTTTTACCTCTTGCTGTGGTTTTTTTGCCCCTCCCCCAACATTTGACTTCCTAAACTACCCTCCCTGGAGGGAATAGAGAACAGTAAATATCCCCAGCCTATTCAGCCTCTCCCTATGGCTCAAACCCTCCAACCCCAGCAACATCCTGGTAAATCTTTTCTGCTCCCTCTCACGTTTCACAACATCCTTCCTATAGAAAGGTGACTAGAATTGTACACAATATTCTAGAAGTGGCCTTGCCAATGTCCTGTACCGCTGAGAGTAATGGAGTGTGGATAGGAAAGTGGGAGTGAGACCACAACTAGATCAATCATGGCCTTATTGACAGAGAGGGTCAAAGGCCAAATGACCTACTCCTGTTCCTTAAGTCCTAATGATCAAATAACACGCGGTTTGTGGAGAAAGTGGATTTTACCGTGTCAAATAAGTTGTGATCTGGCTCTGTGTTTTTGGTTTTATGGTGACAAGGGAATTAAAGTTAGTCCATTGGTACATATGTGAATGCATAGTATTAAAGGCATAGTAGATGGGGGAACATATTCTGAAGAAGGGTCCCAACCCGAAATGTCAGCTTTCCTGCTGCTCTGATGCTGCCTGGCCTGCTGTGTTCCTCCAGCTCCTTGTTAGCTCAGACTCCAGCATCGGCAGTTCCTACTATCACATATTAAACACCTCATAGCTTTGGGAAGGAGCTCAAATCAGCAACGTGGAGGGTCAGTGCTGGTGGAGCATGAGTACGAAGGGAAGGATGCACTGTCACAGTTTTGTTACTGAGTGGGAGAGTGTTCGAACACTGGACCCTATTCAGTAGCATGGTCTGTCTGAATTGATGAGGGTTATTCCTCTGTCATGGATCAGGATCCTCTCTGCTGCCTGGCCAAGCGGATCAGACATTTCCCTGGAATGTGAAATCCGGTAGGACAGCCTGGGAGAGCCGCTTCCCTGTGACCTGAGGTCCCCGTGACTGCAGCAGAAGTGACAAAGTTTCCAACTTGTCACGTTACCTTTACAAACCAGCAGGCTACAAACAGGAAGTGTACACATTGTACTGTCTCAAATAACGACAGCTACAGCTGCCTTGGAATAACAGCCTCAGAGTCGGAGGGAACTACAGCACAGAAAAAGATCTTTCGGCCCATCGAGTCTGCGCCAGTCAAAAACAACCACCACACTATTCTAATCCCATTTTCCAGCACTTGACCCATACCCTTTGTACATCTTGGCATTGTGTTACACCTAAATCTGTTAGGAAGGTTTCTGCTTCTGCCACCTTTACAAGCAGTGAGTAACAGATTCCCACCAACCTCTGGGCGACAAGGTTAGTCATGAAATCATAGAATCCCTACAGTGCGGATAAAGGCCATTTAGTATGACCCTCCAGACCCATCCTATCCCTGTAACCCTGCATTTTCCATGGCTAACCCGCCTACATATCTCTGGACACTACGGGGCAACTTAGCATGGCCAATCCACCCTAACCTGCACACCTTTGGACTGTGGGAGGAAATCAGAGCACCCACACAGACATTGGGAGAATGTGCAAACTCCACATCGATGGTCACCTGAGGGTGGAACCCTTTTCAGCACATCCCCTTTAAACCATCTGCCTCTTATCTTAAACCTATGCCCCTTGGTCACTGATCTCTCCATTAAGGAAAACAGTTCGTTCCTGTCTACCCTATCCACGTCCCTCAAAATAGTATCCATCTCAATCATATACTCCTGCATTCTCCTCTACTCTAAGGAAAACAACCCCAGTCTGTCCAATATCCTTCATAACTGAAACTGTCCAGCCCAGACAACACCCTGGTAAATCTCCTCTGCACCCTCTCCACATCCCTCCACTAAAGTGGATTCCAGATTTCAGTTTGCAAACGTTGCTTATTCTCTCTGACTTTGGTTAGAAAGAAAAATGCTCAGAAATTACTAATGATGCGAGGGGGATGTGGCCTGATGATCTTTGTGAGGCATTTCTTTATCATTCCTTCAGCAGAAATGGGACACTGGGAGGTATTTCTGGAAAGAGAGACATGATCTTGGAGTTTCTCACCTTGCGATCGCCAGCACAAACACAAGGATGAGAAATGTCAGCAGGGCACTTTCCTGGGCTATAAATCGTTGTGATCATTTGGCATTTTTGCGTTTGTCCTGGTGAAGTGCTAAATTTGGCAACAATTTTCTATTTTGGTGAAGTCAGTGAGTGTTGTATTGTGTTGAGGAGAGGTACATGTCAGATACTGGATTTCCCTGGTATCACTGTGAGGCAGTTCTAGGTTGGGATTTGTTCTATATTTAGGGTCAATGTGTGTTGTACCTGCCACTGCTCAGCACTTGCCTGTGAGTCAGGGAGTATGTAATATCACCATCTGCTTACAGGGTGAACATGTGTGGCTCGAAACGAACACAGGCGGAGAGTTCAACACAGCAATTGGAGCCGTGGTGAAGCTGATGAGCTCTGGCAAGATTCTGCTGTTGGATGATGAAGGCAAGGTCAGTTCTACACTCATTTCCACCTCGTCTTTGAGCGGCCTTGTTCCCAGCTCCGTTTCTTTCAGGGGCGATAGGCTTCTGATCTCGGTGGAGTCATTCTGAGGGTCAGCACTGGCTACATTTCAATGAGCTTGGCTGTGTCCTGGGTGGGCATCGCTTTCAGACAGCTGCCGCTGTACCCCAGCCCCCCATTCACACCGGGTGGGGGAGGAGGCTGGTGGGAAGGCCCCCGCTGTACAATATGGACAGGGGAAGGATGTCGGTGCAGCCATGATCCTATTGAATGGCGTAGAGAGCTCGAGGGGCTGAATGGCCTACTTCTGTTTGTATTTCTTATGGTCTTATACTACTGGTCCCACACACACACACACACACACACACACACACACACACACACAGACACACACACACAGACACACACACGCGCACACACACACACAATCACAAGCACACACACACACACACACATACGCGCACACACACACACATACGCGCACACACATGCACACACACAAAAACACACACAAGCACACACACACACACACACACACATACGCACACACTCAAGCACACACACACACAGGCACGCGCGCACACACACGCACACAAACACACACACACACATACAGGCACACACACACACATACATACACTCTACCACAAATACAGACACACAAACACAGTGTGATACACTGGGAGCAGCCCTTTACATGCTGTGAAAAAGCCTGTTTTGATGGTAGTTGTCTGTTTTGCCTTTAGGAGCAGTGGGTTGGTGCCTCAAACATTAACAGCGTGCGCCCCATGCACCCTACCTCAGTGAAAGGAGTGGATGACATGATCCGGATCGGAGATTTGAATGAAGCTGGGATTTTGCACAACCTGCTCATCCGATTTCGGGAGAACATCATTTATGTAAGTCCACCCCACCCTGGAGAAACATGGCCTTAGGTATAACGGAGCCTGCACATTCCAGGCAGAAATAGGGACGGGCAATAAATGCTGGCCTTGCCAATGATGCCCCACATCCTGTGAATCAGTAAGAACAAAGTGTCACAAAGCACTGAGACTGTGTCCCACTACAGTGTTCGAGCAGTGGAGTAACATCACCAGCTTGTGTTTGTCCTGGGGCAGACGGAGTGGGCTGGAGGAATGTGGGCACTGTGACTAACTGAGGAGGTTCGTAGGCTTAGCCTAGAGCTGGGTGTCAAAGAGTGAGTGGGGCACAGGAGGACAGAGTTTACAGAGGGAATTCCAGAGTCTGCAGCCTACAGGTGGAGGTGTGACAGGAGGTGGGGAAGCCCACAGAGACTCCAAGGCAGGGCAGCTTGGGAGAAAGTAGCCACAAAGGATTTTGAGTGGGTCGGAGAGAATGGGGACATGGGTTGAGTGTCTGTGTGTGTATGTGAGCACGCACGTGTGTGTATATGTGTGTGTGCGTGTGTGTGTGTCTGTGTGTATGTATGTGTGTCTGTGTGTGTGTGTGCCTGTGTGTGTGTGTGTGCCTGTGTGTGTGTGTGTGTGTGTGTCTTTGTATGTGAGCACGCACGTGTATGTATATGTGTGTGTGTGTGTGTGTGTCTGTGTGTGTGTGTGTGTGTGTGTGTGTCGGTGTGTGTGTATGTGAGCACGCACGTGTATGTATGTGTGTGTGTGTCTGTGTGTGTGTGTCTGTGTGTGTGTATGTGTGTGCGTGTGTGTATGAGAGTGAGTGAGTGTGCATGTGTTTGTGTGTGTGCATGTGTGTGTGTGTGAGAGTGAGTGTGTTTGTGTGTGTGCGTGTGTGTGTGTGTGTGAGAGTGAGTGAGTGTGTTTGTTTGTGCGTGTGTGTGTGTGAGAGAGTGATTGAGCGTGTTTGTATGTGTGTGTGTGTGTGAGAGAGTGAGTGAGTGTGTTTGTATGTGTGTGTGTGTGTGAGCAGGATAGAGAATCCTGCATGGTGTGTTGCCTGCCCGGTGCCAGGGTGCGAGACATCTCTGACCAGCTTGAGAGGATACTAGAGAGGGAGGGGGAGGATCCACGTAGGTACCAACAACATAGGCAGGACTAGGAAAAAAGACGTCCAGTCCCTCTACACCTGCATTCCCCATGCAGATGGCCTTAAGGCCCTCCGCTTCTTCCTGTCCCGCAGGCCCGACCAGTCCCCCTCCACTGATACCCTCATCCGTTTAGCCGAACTCGTCCTCACATTCAACAACTTCTCTTTCAATTCCTCCCACTTCCTACAGACAAAGGGGGTGGCCATGGGTACCCGCATAGGCCCAAGCTACGTCTGCCTCTTTGTAGGTTACGTGGAACAATCCCTCTTCCGTACCTACACCGGCCCTAAACCCCACCTCTTCCTCCGTTACACTGATGACTGTATCGGCGCCGCCTCGTGCTCCCACAAGGAGCTCGAGCAGTTCATCCACTTCACTAACACCTTCCACCCCAACCTTAAGTTTACCTGGACCATCTCTAACACCTCTCTCCCCTTCCTGGACCTCTCTGTCTCCATATCGGGCAACCACCTAGAAACCGATATTCATTTCAAGCCCACCGACTCCCACAGCTACCTAGAATACTCCTCCTCCCACCCACCTTCCTGCAAAAATGCTATCCCCTATTCCCAATTCCTTCGCCTCCGCCGCATCTGCTCCCAGGATGAGGCATTCCACTCCCGTACATCTCAGTTGTCCTCGTTTTTCAAGGACCGTAACTTCCCCCCTTCGGTTGTCGAGAACGCCCTCAACCGTGTCTCCCACATCTCCCACACCTCATCCCTCACACCCCGTCCACGCAATAAGAACCAAAAAAGAATCCCCCTTGTCCTCACGTACCACCCCACCAACCTCCGGATCCAACGCATCATCCTCCGACACTTCCGCCATCTGCAATCCGACCCCACCACCAAAGACATCTTTCCCTCCCCACCTTTATCTGCTTTCCGGAGGGACAACTCTCTCCGTGACTCCCTTGTCCGCTCCACACTCCCCTCCAGCTCC